GTATGTTTTTTTTCCTCACGCCATACTCCTTTTATTGTCAAAGAATTACGATTTTTATTTATTTATTTATTTATCTATTTTTTATTTTTTTATTTTTTATTTATTATTATTATTATTATTATTTTGAGGGGGATTACACCCTGTTTTGTACTTTCTTTTTCATGTAATTTTCCCCATCGGGCCTTGCTGTTTCTTCCAAGATTTTAGAGTATTTCTCCGTTCTTCGCAAAAGCCGACATTCTTTTACCTCGTGTGTTATGGCAAGGTAATGATTAGACTCGTTCCTTACTTGACGATAAATCACATGCTCCATCTTGCAAGAATGCAAGAGATGGAGGCGCGTCGTTTGACTCGCCTCGCCAAAGTCCTTTTAAATACAGAAGGATTTTTATTTTTTATTTATTATTATTATTATTATTATTTTGAGGGGGATTACACCCTGTTTTGTACTTTCTTTTTCATGTAATTTTCCCCATCGGGCCTTGCTGTTTCTTCCAAGATTTTAGAGTATTTCTCCGTTCTTCGCAAAAGCCGACATTCTTTTACCTCGTGTGTTATGGCAAGGTAATGATTAGACTCGTTCCTTACTTGACGATAAATCACATGCTCCATCTTGCAAGAATGCATGAGATGGAGGCGCGTCGTTTGACTCGCCTCGCCAAAGTCCTTTTAAATACAGAAGGATTAAATAGCCGTTTGCGCTGTTCTTATTCCACCTTACAGAATAACCTACACATAAATTGAATTCCATCTTCATGTTATAGAAAATACGCTGGATAATTACCTTATCTTCCCAGTTTTAACCATGATATGAAGCAGGAAACCTTTCTTCCCCCGGTGTTTACGTCGTGTAAACAGCGGCTGTAACAAAGGACTCTGTATACCATTAACCAGTGTTATTTTTTGGGTAGGTTTTTGTCCTGTTGGGATAAACATTTAGATTGAGTGACGTGCTGTGGAGTTTTTTTAATTTATTTATTTGATGTAGCCTGTAATGTATGGATACGTGCTTTTAAAGTGTGGATTTTTTTTAAAACATTGAATGTAGCTTTTGTTTGAGTGGAGAATTATTTTAAAGTTTAATGTGGAATTTGTCTTTATTTTATTTTTTTCTTAGAGTGTGACTTTTGATGAAGGCGCCAAAATCATGTTCTGATCATGTTAGCGATGGTTTGAAGAGAATTTCTTATGAATGTGATGGTTGGCTGTTGCTGTGTACAGACTCGCGGTAGGGGGTAGGGAGCGGGGGAGGGGGTGATGCCAAGGGTATATAACATGATACCCAGGCGAAGGACGTTTGTAACGCTGTAGGTTGTAGGTGAAGTTTTCATGTCACGTGTGTATATATATATATAGATAGATAGATAGATATTTACATACATATACATATATATATATATACATATATATATATACATATATATATATATACATATATATATATATACATATATATATATATACATATATATATATATACATATATATATACATATATATACATATATATATACATATATATACACAGATATACACGTATATACTCATATATACATATATATACACATATACACATACACATACATACATTCATTCATTCATACGTACGTACATACATACGTACATACATACGTACATACATACATACGTACATACATACGTACACACACACACACACACACACACACACACACACACACACACACACACACACACACACACACACACACACACACACACACACACACAATCAGGCAAGCAAGCAAGCAATCATATGCCCACATACACACACAGAATATATATATATATATATATATATATATATATATATATATATATATATATATATATGTAGTATGTGTGTGTATGTATGTGTGTATGTGTAATTGTTTGTTTGTTTGTATATGTGTTGTGGAAGTAGCAAGATAAGATAAGGCCTGTAGCAATCTGTTTTTTTATTTGTTGCAGAATATTACTAAGAAAGGTTAAAGGGCATACCAAGCTTTATAATCAAAATATGGTTTAGAATTATCATTGGGCATAATGCTAAAAAGATGACATTTGAGGTTAATGCAACTGGAAGGAACAGGGGTATGAAATTAAAGGAAATTACCAAAGAAAGATTGGAAACACATTCCTTATAAGAAAATATTGGACTGTGGGAAAAAAAATAACTTGAAATAAAGGCATGGGAAGGGATGGTGTGGTTGTATGTTGCAACAGAGGGCAGTGGACCATTGCTTTCCCTTTAGGTTGACTTCATGTGGTGCTTCTTGGGTGTTTTATCTCCAGCCTTGTACTGAAGTTTATTTTCCTTTTAATTGTCACTGGGTTTTAAATTCCGTCAGATGCTGGCTGTAGGTCGCTCAAAGTAGAATTTTTATTGTCACTTTTATGGTAGTATGAGATTGTGTTTTGTTTTTCTGTTGGTCTTTTACGTTGACTAGCTTTTTGGCGCTGTTGAACAGAATTGTGATATTTCATTTAACCTGATACATAT